CAAAAAAAAAAAAAAAAAAGAGAGCGATAAGATAGACAAGTGGGATTTCATCAAACTGACAAGCTTCAGCAAAGCCAAAGAAACCATCAAGAGAGTGGGGAGACAGCCAAAGACAGGGAAAGAATATTTGCCAAGTGTATACCTGACAAAGGCCTAACATCTAGGATCTACAAGGAACTTAAACATGCCAAAAAGAAATAAACACCCCCATTACAAAGTGGGCAAAAGATATGAATAGACACTTCTCAAATGAAGACATAAGAGCAGCCAACAGACATATGAACAAAATGCTCAGCCTCACTAGTCATCAAAGAAATGCAAATTAAAACCATACTGAGGCCATCTGTGTCCATGTGGCTCTTTAAGCTATGGCCACCATGTTTCTTGGCTTTGGTCCCCTCTCCTACCTTGGAGAGGTAACGCTCTCTGCCTCTCTCTGTCTCATTTACTTTCTAAATAAACTATATCTAAAAAACAAACAAACAAACTGAGATACCACCTAACTCCAGTCAGGATGGCTATCATCAATAACTCAGAAAACAACAGATGCTGGAGAGGACGCGGGGAAAAGGGAACACTTCTACACAGTTGGTGGGAATGTAAACTAGTGCAGCCTCTGTGGAAAACAGTGTGGCGATTCCTAAAAGATCTAAAAATTGACATTCCATAAAATCTTGCAATCCCCCTACTGGGAATATACCCGAAAGAACTCAAATAACTCTGTGAAAAGATACTTGCATATGCATGTTTATTGCATCATTATTCACAATAGCCAAAACATGGAACCAACTGTGCTGTCTATCGAAACAGGACTGGATAAAAAAATGTGGTACATATACACGATGGAATATTATACAGCCATAAAGGACAAAATTATGAACTCTGCAGCAACCTGGATGGACTTAGAGTCTATAGTACTGCGTAATCTATCAAAGAAACAAAGAACTGAGTACCACATGTTCTCATTCATAAGTGGACCTTGACCAAATATCCTAATACTATAAGAAAGGGACTGGCAATAGTAGGAAACTGCCAGGGGAGGTGGGGGGGATGGGATTGGCAGTAGTGGGAAACTGCTTGGGGGGGATGGGGGCACACCTCATCAACAAAGGTACCTGCATAATGAACATTTGTATACCTAGCCTTGAATTTTACCCCACATCTTTAAATTAAAAAAAAAAAAATTTTTTTTTTGAGTTGGGGTCTCACTCTGTCGCCTAGACTGGAGTGCAGTGGCTGCTCCCGGCCACCACAGCCTCGACCTGCTGGGTTCCGGCGATCCTTCCACCTCAGCCTTCCAAGTAGCCGGAATTACAGGCATGCGCTACTGTGCCTGGCTGATTTTTTGATTTATTGTAGAGAGATGAGGTCTCGCTGCCCAGGCGGGTCTCGAACCCGCGGGCTCAGGCAATCCAAAGACGCGGGATTACAGGCTGAGCCACCGAGCCCGGTAAAAAAAATTTTTTAAAGTTAGAAAAAAAGAAAAGAAAATTTAAGTTACCAAATATGACTTATATTATATCTCTTTGGATAATATGGTTCTAGATCTTTCAAAAAAGTATTACACATTTCATTTGTTGTTTGGAAACTTCAAACTAATGCACAGATAGCCTAAGTAACTTTTTTCTAGACTGATACTATTATCTTTTTTGGGTATACTCCATAAAAGATTTCAGAACTATAGGAGTACCTAGGTTAATAAAGCTGTTTATTTTTAGCAATTAGAGTTCATGCTGAGAAAACACAATTAACAGTTAATGCTTGGGGATATTTTCCCCACCTTAACATCATATAGGTCAAAGTGTTTCTCAGATTATAAAGCTATTTCCTTTTTTTTTTTTTTGAGTTGGAGTCTCACTCTGTCACCCAGACTGGAGTACAGTGGCTGCTCTCGGCCACTGCAGCCTTGACCTGCTGGGCTCCGGCAATCCTTCCGCCTCAGCCTTCCAAGTAGCTGGAACTATAGGCGCGCGTTACCCTGCCCAGCTAATTTTTGATTTTATTGTAGAGATGAGGTCTCACCAAGTTGCCCAGGCGGGTCTCGAACCCGTGGGCTCAGGCAATCCACTCACCTCAGACTCCCGAAGTGCTGGGATTACAGGCTGAGCCACCAAGGCCGGCTTATAAAGGTATTTCAGAACAGATTTCATGAAAAAGTTGATCTACTACATGGTCATTATACTGGGCTTTTAATTCTAATAATTCAAAACTCAATTTAAAATATGGCTGGTTCTCCTGCTGCCTTCCCCATTCTCCATATTAGAAGTTGCAAATTTTCCTCACTCTTTCCTAGTTGCCATCTCTAACCCTCTCAATATCAAAAGCTGTCTTCAAACCACCTCAACTTCCTCTGCCCCACCTCAAAATGTTTCTGTATAATTATTCTCCCTTTCTGTCATTATTCTTCATGAGCAACAACCATCTCCTTTTCTTGCATTCATTTTCTGTTTCCAATTCCTTCTGCCTCCTCTTAGACCTTCTTTCTCTCTCTAATATATTGCCCTCTTTGAGGAAGGGCTCCTTCCTCTTCTAACATAATTCCTAAGCAAGTATGCCGAGTTAGCTTCTTTTTCCTGGATGTATTCTATTTTCTCCTCTTTGTACCTTTGCTCATATCATTTCCTCTGCCTGTAGTTTCTTTCTTTTCTCTTTTTTTTTTTTTTTTGAGTTGGAGTCTCCACTCTTGTCATCCAGACTGGAGTGCAGTGGCCGCTCCCGGCTACCGCAGCCTCGACCTGCTGGGCTCCAGCGATCCTTCCACCTCAGCCTTCCGAGTAGCTGGAACTACAGGTGTGCGCTACCACGCCCGGCTAATTTTTTGATTTATTGTAGAGATGAGGTCTCGCCAAGTTGCCCAGGTGGGTCTTGAACCCGCGGGCTCAGGCAATCCACTCACCTCAGCCTCCCAAAGTGTGGGATTACAGGCTGAGTCACCGAGCCTGGCTTCTCTTTCCTTTTTTTTGAGTTGGAGTCTCTGTTGCCCAGGCTGGAGTACAGTGGCATGCTCACAACTACTGCAGCCTCAACCTGCTGGACTCAGGCACTCCTTCTACCTACCAAGTAGCTGGAACTACAGGGTACGCGCCACCACATCTGGCTTATTTTAAAATTTATTATAGAGACAAGGTCTTGCCAAGTTGCCCAGGCTGGTCTCAAACCCCTAGGCTCAGGCAGTCCTCTCGCTTCCACCTCCTAAATTTCTGGGATTACAAGTGCAAGCCACTGTGCTGAGCACTGCCTGTAATTTCTTTCTTCCACAAGCTCTCTAAGTAACTGATGTTCATAATTTAATATTTTCTTAACTCACTAAAAAAATATATTCAGTATTCATTACTCAAAGTGAAAAGAAAGCATATAGTTCATTTAAAAGATTCTCATTGAAGGCAGTGAAGTTTCAGCAGTTAAAGGGTTAATTTGCAGCTATCTGTTGTAACCTTGTAAATACTGGCATTTTTAAATTGTCTTATAAAGATCTATAAAGAAACTGCTCCTACTACACCACAGATAGTTTGAAAAACACTGCTCTAAAGAGTGCAAAGTTGTAAAACTAAAAATTCTTGAAGTAGAGAGTTAAAGCTGTGGTACCTTGGTACATAGCCAGGAAGGAGCTGAGGAATCAGAAGGAAACGTTGGGAACAGATCTAGGCCAGTGGGGAAACATGGGAAAGGGGTAAAAGACTGTGGAAATGGGCTTCTGGATCCTTACTGAGCTAGAAGAATGGGAAGAAAAAGAGAACTCAGTGGGAAGAAGGCACAAGCCAGTTGGCAGACTTGTGCTCAGAGGTTAACCCTCCAAAGTGAACAGGTTTCCTTCAGCTTCAGCCAGCCCTCATTATCCTTAGAGCAGCAGCTGTTCCCGTTTTAGCTTAGGGAAACATCCTAAGAATCTGATGGAAATTATGAACTGTTTCATATTTCAAAAACGTACATACCCATAGTTTTGAATACAATTGAATATAAAATTGAATACAATTTTAGGAAATTCATAAAGACCATGAACTCTTGAATTTAAAAATTCCTGAAAGGATACATAAGATACATAATTGTGGTTGTCTGGGGAGGGAAAGGGGAGGCAGAGATTTTGGGGTAAGAAGGAAAAATACCCATTTGTGTTAATAAACTCATTATATAGTACATGGTTTGTCAATTAAAAAAGAAAACATACTAAAAAACAAATTAGCTGACATTGTCAAGGCAAGACTTGATCATAGTCTAACGTCAGAGAAAGGAGAAAGCCCCTTTGTTCCACTAAATTACCTACTTCACTTTTTCTGAAATTTTTTTCAATAAGAAGCAACCATTTTCATTTCAAACAGCAAGCTCTTCAAATATGTAAATAAACTTGAATCATTGATATGAATGAATTTCAGCCTAAACAGAACCTGGTATTAGATCCTTTCCTATCTTCATAAGGATTATGAAACAGGCAAACACTGAAATGAATCTCAGGAAGGGGGAAAGGAGAAAGACATGCAGAAATGAACAGAAATAAGAAACCGGGAAGGTTAAAGTACAATTTGCTTATTTCACAATTGCTGCTTTCACTCAGGGACACACACAAAAGTCTGTTTTCACTCAGGGACACACACACAAAAATAGCTGTTTAAAGTGATATTACATCCCACTAAGTAATATATGTCAAAATTTACCAGGAACTATGGCTACAATCAACTTATGAAAATCTTACAAGTACTCTACAAAACAGAATAGAGTTAAATTTTGTCACTTAACTAAACAAGCCAAAGCCTCTATAAAGTTAGGAGTTCTCTGTGTTATGAAGGACAAACTCAAAAACAAATAATGTAGCCACATAAAACATTCACACTTACTTGCAAAATATGTGATCACATTTTGTGGAAACAGGTTCTTTGATCAACTCCAGACTAGAAGGGTAGGAGGAAAAAAAAAGAAAATAAATGAAGTTCAATAATTTATCTAAAAATAAATGCATTCTTAGTAAGGAAGTTCAACTTTAAATTGCTATAACTGAATCAAGGTATGGTTTTATAAATAATTCAATAAAAATTTTCTTTTTTTAAATTTATTTTCTTTTTTGAGTCAGAGTCTCACTTTGTCACCCAGGCTGGAGTGCAGTGGTTGGGAACACAGGCGCACACCACCATGCCCGGCTAATTTTTTTGATTTATTGTAGAGACGAAGTCTCACCATGCTGACTAGGCTGGGCTCAAACCTGTGGGCTCAGGCTATCCTCTTGCCTTCGCCTCCCAAAGTGCTGGGATTACAGTCATGAGTCACCGTGCCTGACTTCAATAAAAATTTAGTAAATATCTGCTGTTCTAGGAGTTAAGGATACAGCAGAGAATATGATCCTTACTTTCATTGAGCTTTCAGACATCAAAACAAGAATTTACTGATCTTCTCGATACACCGTATTACCATCTGTATTTATTTATTTTTTGAGTTGGAGTCTCATTCTGTCACCCAGACTGGAGTGCAGTGGCTGTTCCCGGCCACCGCAGCCTTGACCTGCTGTGCTCCAGTGATCCTTCCACCTCAGCCTTCCGAGTAGCTGGAACTACAGGTGTGCGCTACCACACCTGGCTCATTTTGATTTATTGTAGAGATGAGGGCTCGCCAAGTTGCCCAGGCGGGTCTCAAACCCACGGGCTCAGGCAATCCACTCATCTCAGCCTCCCAAAGGCACGGGATTACAGGCTGAGCCACCGAGCCCGGCTATCATCTGTATTTAAAAGATTAGTTGATAATACTTCAAATTTTGTTTCAATGATATACTATTTTTTAGCTGCAATTGTGGGTGAACATCCTGTATCTTAACTCTAAGCTCCATAAAGAAAAAAATTTCCATTTATTTTTTGGGATTCCCTCGTGGAACTTTTTTGGTATGTGATTGGCTTTTTTTTTTGAGTTGGAGTCTCACTCCATTGCCCAGGCTGGAGTGCTGTAGCAGGCTCATGGCCACCCCAGCATCAACCTGGTGGGCTCCAGGGATCCTTCTGCCTCTGTCTTCCAAGTAGCTGGAACTACAGGCTCGCACTACCATGCTTGGCTAATTTTTGATTTACTGTAGAGACAAGGTCTCACCAAGTTGCCCAGGCTGGTCTCAAACCCCTGGGGCTCAGGCAATCCTCCCACCTTGGCCTCCCAAAGTGCTGGGATTACAGGCTTGAGCCATCACACCTGGCCTGATTGGCTTTTTTTTTTTGAGTCTGTTTCACCCTGTCGCTCAGGCTGGGAGTATAATGGCCTGATCACAGCTTGACCTCACCCACTCAGTTGATCCTTCTGCCTCAGTTTCTCAAGCAGCTTGGACTACAGGCATGCACCACCACACCTGGCTAATTCTTTTATCTTTTGTAGAGACAAGGTCTTGCTATGTTGCCTAAGCTGATGACTGTCTTAATATGAAAAATTTTGAGCATTTACACAAATAAATAAAATAAACGAATAAAATAAACTCCTTGCAGTATTATCAAACTTCAACAACTATCGACTCATGGTCAATCTGGTTTCATCTATATCCACACTGACCTCAGATTATTTTAAAACAAATCCCAGTAATTATATCATTTCATCTATAGACATTTTAACTATATCGTTAAAAGATAAAGACTTTAGTGGCAGACAGCAGACACTCACTGTTGTCCTGCTTGTCGTGCTCTTCACAACGTAACTTTCCTTTAATAAATCCACCTTAACTAAAAAAATAAAGACTTTAGCATAATCATTAAACATTATTGCTCCTAAAAAAATGAATAATTTCCCCCTCCTTTTTTTTTTTTTTTGAGACAGAATCTCACTTTGTCACCCAGGCTGGAGGGCAGTGGCATGATCATAACTCACTGTAGCCTTAAACTGCTGGACTCAAACAATGCTCCTGTCTTAGCCTCCTGAGCTGTTGATACTACAGGAACAAGCCATTTCAATGAATTTCGTTAATGGATTTCTTAGTATCAGGTAATATACAATTAATGTTCCAATTTGCCTCATAAAAATTGTTTTTCACAATTAGATTTGATGGGGAGGTAGGGAAGAGGGGTAGGGTTCAAAAATTACCTATTGGGTACAATGTTCACTATCTGGCAGATGGGCCACCTAAGACCCAGTCCATACCACTACACAATATGTCCATATAACAAACATGGATATATACTTCCTGAGTTAAAAATAAAATGGAAAAAGAAAATTTTTTACATTAGGACCCAAATAAGATTCACGCATTGAATTTGGTTGATATGTCTCAAATCTCTTTTAACCTATAGATTTCCTCTCCTTTTCTCCTCCTTGCCTTTTCTTTTAAAATTTAGGTCATTTGACTTGTAGAAGTTCCCATATTCTGGATTTTGCTGATTGTAAACCTGTGGTATGATTCCTCTAGCTTCTTTGTTTCCAATAAACTAGATCTATAGGCTTGATCAAATTCAGGTTCAATTTTTTGGCAAGAACACTTCATAGGTTGTACTGTGTACATACTTCAGGAGGGTCACAATGTTTGGTTTGTGATTACTTTGTAAAAAACAGTACAATAAATACTTGCTAAGGAAATTTAAAAAATAACAAGCTCAGAAAAAAGGACAAAATTTGAGAAGACACATCAAGCAAATTTCCATCCCTACCTGTCTATTCACAAAATCTCAAGGTCTTCCTGAGACTCATTCATTTACTGATATAACAAGTATTTATTGAGCATCTACTATATTCAGGTACTGTTTTGAAAGTGGACACAGCAGTGAACAAAATACAGCCTGCTCTCATAGAGCTTACATTCTAGTTGTGGAAGTAGAGTTAATAGAAAAATAAAGAATAGATGGTACAGTGGCTCACACCTGTAATCTCAGCACTTTGGTAGGCCAAGGAGGGAAAACTGCTTAAGCCCAGGAGTTTGAGACCAGCTTAGGTAACATAGGAAGACCTCATCTCTACAAAAAAATAAAAAACAAAATAATAATAAACAAAAAATTAGCTGGATATGGTGGTACATTCCCGTAGTCCCACCTACTCAGGAGGCTGAGGTGGAAGGATTGCCTGAGCCCCGATGATCAAGGTGGCAGTGATCTGTGATTGTGCCACTGTATTCCAGCCTGGGTGACAAAGTGAGGCCTTATCTCAAAAAAAAAAAAAAACAACAAGAAAAAAAAAAAAACAACAACAAAAAGACCAGCCAGGTTTGATGGCTAATGCCTGTAATTCCAGCACTTTGGGAGGCTGAGGCAAGAGGATTGCCTGAGCCCACACGTTCGAGACCAGCCTGAGCAACTTGGTGAGGCCTCGATTCTAAAATAAGTCAAAAAAATTAGCTGGGTGTGGTGGTGCATGCCTATAGGTGCAGCTACTTGGAAGGCTGAGGCAGAAGGATCACCTGAGCCCAGCAGGTTGAGGCTGCAGTAGCCATGAGTGTGCTACTGCACTCCAGCCTGGGTGAGAGTGAGACTCCAACTTAAAAAAAAAACAACAAATCCCACCAAATGGGAATAAGTGTTAAAGAGAAAAATAAAGCAGGGTAAGGTGGAAAAGGGAGTGTAATATGTGTGCATTTGGGGTGTGTGCATATAGGGTGTCAAGAAGCTTCACTGAGGTGACACTGGAGGGCAGCAAAATAATGAGGAAATAAGCTATGCTACAATTTGGGGAAGTGTTCAACAGAGAATAAAATGCTGAGCAGAACCTGGTATTTTGTGCAGGATAGTGGGTAGGATAGGTTGCTAGGATAGAATGAGAAGCAGGAAAAGATATCAGAGGGGTAACTGGGAGCCTCAGCAGGTAGGAACCTATACACTCTTTTAAGACTAGCCTTATTCTGAATGTAAACTTTTGAAAGTGATTTATTGCTAAAGGCAGGACATCAAAGAACAGGTAACCTGGTAGTAACAGGAATGTGTTTCTTTTCATTAAATATTTAACTTTTTAGAAAAGGATCATAAGAAAAGCTGGGGACAAAAGTCTTATTGTGAAGGGTGGGGTAATACAACTCTTGTAATCATGGGGTCAGAAATGCAACATGGGACAATGAAAAGAAAAACACTGAACTAAGTCAGAAGGCTGGGTTTCTACTACAAGTTGTCTTTATTAGCAGAGCAAACCTTGGACCAACCACTCTATGAGAACCTCAATTTCCTGCTCTGATGCCCACCCTGGTAGTATCCTTGGGCTACTGTGAGAATAAAATTAAATGCTACTTGGAAAAATGCTTCACAACCTGGGATGACTTGCACAAATGTTGGTATAATTATAGAGACCAAATGTGAGTTTATAAAGAAAAAGCAGGCTGGGCTTGAAGGCTCAGCCTGTAATCCCAGCACTTTGGGAGGCTAAGGCGAGTGGACTGCCTGAGCCCGCAGGTTTGAGACCTACCAGGGCAACTTGGTGAGACCTTGTCTCTACGATAAATCAAAAATTAGCTGGGTGTAGTAGCGCACGCCTGTAGTTCTGGCTACTTAGAAGGGTGAGGCAGGAGGATCACCAGAGTCCAGGAGGTCGAGGCTACGGTGGCCAGGAGTGGGCCATTGCACTCCAATCTGGGCGACAGAGTGAGACTCCAACTCAAAAAATAAATAAATAAAAAAGAAAAAGAAAAACAATCTTGACAAAGAAACCTCTGATTTGTTACTAAATCACTACTTCAGAGATAAGCTAGGTATCAAAGAAATTCTCAGTAAAAGAAAAATTGGATTTAGCTATGATGCCAGATGGCTTCCATTCTCACCACTGACACAATTCTGAAATAATTATATTTCAGTATGGTAATTATAATCCAAGCTACACAAACATACTGTAAACACAAATTTGGAACAGATGAAAACTCCAATATGTAAAAAAGGTAATGACTGCTGAAGGAGGAGTGTGAATAGAAAATAGGAAATAAATTAAAATGTAGGTCCTGATGAGTAAATGTTTACTATAAAAG